ATCATCAAGCTTTTGTTTTCCATAAGAAATACAATCGACTGAAACCGCCGAAACGCGATATTGTTCAGAGCATAACGCAAACAGCGGGAGAAGTCTATTAGCTGACGCGATCGCGATCACATGAGCGAGCGTCCACTCCCATTTTCAATCCCCATTACGGCACGTCTAATCGTCTAATAATTGAAGCGAGGTAATTACCGCGCGATAGGCCACTTCCCACGTCTGGCGCGCCTGGCTCATTAAGTCGTCGCTTAATGATAGTCGCAATCGGTCAGTCCTTGCCCGCTATGGTCACGGCAAAGTGCGCAGTCATAACACTCGGCGTATTAGTTAGTTTAATCCCGTTTCATCATTTATATCGCCGAAGGACGCGGATTTATTCTTCCGCGTTAAGCGGAATCCGATGACGCGCCATTAGTCATCTCTCGGACGATGTCTCTCCGCGATATTTATTTATGATTAACGTCCGCGCAAAAGCGGTAAAGATATTCCGCGCAATCAGACGAATTTCAACGGCAATTCATTCATTATGCCAAACGATCGCTGCGCGCGCGCACGTTCGAATAATCGAGAAATCCTAACGAGATCCGCCGGGGCTTTCGAGTCGCGAGGTGCCATTAGAAGTCCGGCGGCTCAGAAGAATAGATTCTATCGCGCGCGCGCGCGCGCATTACCGCGCCAGGGTCAACGATGCTCAACGCCGATGCGTATTTATAGAGATAAATACCAAAGTGCTACCGGATACACCGCTGCCGCCTCGAGCCCACTTGTCACACTAAGGATTACTCGTGTTCCCACTGAGCCTAGCTCGCGACGCTTTGGGCAGGGACGGATTAGAGGAAATAAACTCGGATAGCCGAGGCGGAGTGAGCGATGTCGTTCCGCGACGTCGTTCGTGCACGTTGACAAATTAATCAATCGGGAGTGAGACATCGAAAACACCGGCGATAGAAGTGAACGGAAATGACTGCTCTCGCATTCACCGTTCATCGAAGAAGTAAAATCAATCGATAATCAATCGATAACATTAAGGACGAAGTGAGAGCGCGCTCGCCGGCTTTTATCAGAAGCGACGTGTCGAATCGATCGATTCGAGATCCGCGCACATTCGCGCGTGAACGAAGTCTCGCGTCCCGCAAATGCGCCCCTGTCTCTTTGGGGGGCTCCGATACCCTTCACGCCGGCTCTCCGCCGCGACTCTGCATTTAAATAATTAAAGATCCGCCGGGACGGATGGACGCACGGACACTCGTCGTATTAATGGGATAATCGAGCGTTCAACGTCGACCGAGAGAAGCATCGGCCGGGACGGGGCGGCGCGGCAGGGGAGAGGTGAGAGAGAAAAAGAGATCGGTGGTGGTGGACGAGTGATAATGATTTTATAGTCAGCTGAACTGTCCGGAGGAGGGGGGGGTGCGAGACAATTGACTCGATAATACGGGTCTTCCTGCCTGGCACCGTTGATACCGACGGCGAATCGAGTGCGAGCGCTCGGCCAGAGAGAAGAGTGAGGAGGGGGTGGAGGGGGAGGGGAGGAGGGGGGAGGGCGGAAGGACGAAGGAGTAAATAGTCCGTTCGCTAACACCCGGGCCTTAGAACGGCTCCTCGACTTAGGCTACCGGTCGAAGACCTCTCCACCTCTTCGTCAGACGCCGAGAAATCAAGTACCTGACAGCAGACTCCACCTTCTGGCTGCTCCCGCCGATGCATCCTCGTCGCGTTTCAGGGGCTTGATTTTGCGAATGACTCGTCATTCGCGCCAACGTCTGAGTTCTGAAGACTCACCGGAAGGCCTGATCCAGATATCCGTCAGAGTAATAATGCAACTCGTGTGAAGCGCAACGTAAAATCAAGAGTAATGAAAAGTTTGATTTTTCGATCAACAGGCGGAAGGCCAAATTGGCGAAAAGGGACTGATATACGTTTTGATACGCGAGAGTCATTCAACCTTCTCAGACTCCCGCGAATGACTGTCGTGTATCAAAACGTACATCAGTTCGTTCGATCGAAAAATGAACTGTTCATTATTTTCAGATGCGTCTGCTCTAAGTAACAATTAGTGCCCGGAAATTGCAGGTGATCGAACAATCCGGTCAGTTCGGATTTTTTTAACGACTTTTTGAAGATATATTCGAACAGTTTGGGCTAACATCAGATCCAAAAATTTGGAAATTGTTATATAAAAAAAATTTTATACCGAATCTATCGAAATCAATTAACTCAATTTATAAATCAAAATCTTCCAAGTTTAGAAGTTATTCATAAATTTTTTCCTAGATTTTCTGTGTAACATAAAGTATCGATAAAAAGAATAATTTTATGCATTTTATATAAATTATTTTTCGTATAAACTTCTAAATGAATCTCGTTTCATTTAAAGAAAGGCAAGGCAGAAAATTCTGTAATCCCGCCGGCGAGAAAAGGATTCGGAATAAAAGACGGAAAAAGAGAAAGAGGCGTTTGCGCGCGCGGAGGGTTCAGGCGAGCGCAAAAATAGCCTCGGGACACGTCAATAATTAATTAACGAAATTTATCGATACGCCGGTGCCGTTATCTTGTCTGATACGCGTACGAAGTGATTTCGTGGCCGAGCCGCAAGATAAGCCGTCGTCGATTCATTCGGGTTTGCCTCGTTCGCGTGGAAATTACGACTTCCTCGTGATCCCTGGGACATTCAACATTTTCTGAGGGAGGCGAAAGAAACCTGCTCGCACCGAACATCGTCCAGGTATTAAAATCAGCCGGATGGGCAGGTGACTCGGGACAGTTGAGTCGATATTTAATGTTCCGAGTTCGATCTTTCGAGCGTAACGTACGCAGTTTTTCCCCGCTATTTATCGCGCGTAATAATGCGTGAACGTAATTTGTCAAAGTCATAAATTTCCTTATATACACACGTGCGAATTTTTCGACAAATTACTTCGACGCAAATTACAACCCAAGTGTATCTATATTATTTCGTGCGATATTATTGCGCGTTAACGAAATGTACAATTATTAATTTCTGAATAAATTCTCGCTTTTATTTAATCGTCGTGTGCGCGTTCGTAAGAGCACGATTAAAAATACGGCGTTGTTCTTTGAATCGCTGATCGCTATTAAAAATATTATGCAGACCGATTTCATTTATTTGTCCGACGCCGGTGCCATATGGATTAAACAAATACCCGAGTAAGTTATAGCATTGCTCACGCCACTTCCCAGAAACATCTCCCCGCCGTGAGTTAATTACAAGATTGGCTATCGCGGTTCGTCCGGATACGAGCGAGGCGAAGTACCAGCCCGCCGTAGCTTACCGCCTCGCCGTCACTTTAATCGGGATTGACCCGTTTTTAATGAAGCCCCATCGCACTCCGCGCGAGCGAGCAGAGCCATTGATCCTGCGTGCGATGCGCCGGGACACGATTTCGACCGTGTCCTCGGATCCTCGGGGGTATCGGGCCGCCCGAGACATCGTGCCTTGACATCTTAAGCGGGGTGGGGCGGCCATCGGGCGAGATAACGAAATTAGCCCGGCCGCTAATTTATTTCCTAATTCCCGCGCGAGCGGAGGTGTGAAACAGCCGTTCCGGGCCGTGGT